GACTGGTGCCGGAGCTCGGCCGGGGCCGCGCTCGTCCTGGCCACCTCCAGCGACGCCGAGCACCCCGCCGAGAGCGTGGCGGACGGGTGAGGGCCGGGCGGGGGCGCGGGCGGCGGGAGCACCGAGCCCCGCACTGAGGGGCTGCCAGCACCGCGGGCCGGGCTCTGCCCCGCGCCTTCGCCACAGAATTCAACTGTTCTGTGAGTCCTGGTTCTGTGGTACCGCCCGGGGACAGAGCCTTGAACACTGAGGTGTAAATACCTCCAGAGAGCTGCCCCATCGTCATACAGGGCATTGCTGAAAACACACCAAATAAAAATGTCCCCCCTTTGTTGCCCTCCCCTCCTTGCCCCCTTCCTTTTCTCCCCTTGCTTCTCCCTCCTTCCTTTTGCTTTTCCCCCCTCCTTCCCTTTGCTTCCCCTCTCCCCTTCCTTTTGCTTTGTTTTCCCCCCTTTCCTTTTGCTTTTCCCTCTTGCTTTTCTTCTTTCCCCCTTTCTTTCCCCTCCATATTTTTCTGTGATAAATTTATTTCAAGATGGTTATAGATTGTTATAGGTGCAGGTTAAGGTTTTGTCCCGTTGTCTCCACAGGAATTCTGAAACATTTTGGACGACAACAGGCATGTTCCCACAGGAATTCATTATTGGTTTTCCCAAATGTGTGAAAATCAGCAAAGTCGCGATCCAGTGTTATTTAGGTAAGACTTTCTGTCTTGCAATAGGTAATATGTGCTATATTAAAATGTGTGTCTGTGCCTTTATGAAAATTATCACAGTAGTGTCATGATCTGTACGTAGCCACTTTTTAACAGATCCATAAAGATTTAACTTCACAAAGGAATCGTCTGTCACGTCCAAACCCTCCATAGGTTAGAGGAAGAATGGATTAGTTATTGCTTCTGAAGTGCTTTGTGGATGAAAAGTGATGGAATAAATATCATTATCAATAGGGAATCAGAACTTGTGTTGATATCTCAAATTTATATATGTTTTAGTGCGGACCTTAAGGATTGAAAGAAGTGTATCTAAAGACCCTGTGGGTTTTGAACAGTGCATTGAAAAAGGTAAGACTCTGAAGAAACGGATTTTGTTGGAATAATGTTGGTCTTTCTCAATTATTTTAACCCCACATCTATTTGCTGAGTAAAGTGTAGCTTGATGATTATTTTATTAGACCTTAATGTAATAGTCATGTTTAAGTGAATTTTATGAACACTGCTGGTGTCTGTAGCTGTTTGGAAAATAAAATGCTGTATAAGGGCTAAAAGCACTACTTGTGCACTTTATGTTCCAAAAATTAAAAACAGGCTTACATAGTATAATAGAGTGCCATTTCCTGCATTGTTTGGGGTTTTTAGTGCCTCTTGAGTGACATTTATAACCCAGTGTAATGAGTAGGATATATATACGCACTGGGATATTGCAAAAAAGTATTTGTTCTCTTAAATCACCTTGTAAAAATAAAAAACTATTTCTATATGCAGTGTAAATTCATAGTCCTTAAATTCACTTGAACTCTGAGTCCAGTGAAAACTTTTCACATTATTCTTCATTATCTGCTTTAAAATATGTTTTCTAGATTTGCAACACACAGAAGGACAGCTCCAAATGGAAGAATTTCCAGTGAGTATTTATGGTGTACATCAGTAGTGGTTCATGAAATGGGATGTCTGGACTAAGTGGGGAGGATCTATAAAAAACCCAAATGTCTTTATTTACAGTTATTTGCTCAGTTGGTGTTAGAGAGAGGAATTTGTAGATCAAGGTATGAAATTGCATTTCCCAGCTGCTCCTTTGTAGATTATGGTATGAAATTGCACCTGCCTAGTGCTCCTAACTATGTGGAGGGCCCTTTCCAGAAGTGTGGCAATCTTCCCTCCTTCAATTGTTGCCTTTGAAAGGCTGTAGAATTCAGGAGTGATGAGGCTTTTTTGAATTGCTGTCATCTGAAGAAACTCTGAAGCTGGCTAGATGTTATTAAAGAGCTTGATTTATGTGCAATTGGAAGACAGGCATGGAAGTGTCTAGATCCTTCTGTCTAATAAACTTCTGCAAATGTTTGGTAATTTTGTTACTACAGAGAATGCAATAACATTTTTTTTTATTCCTTCTGCAGCTTCCTGAATTCCAGGCCACTTACTTGCGTTTCATCATCAAATCTGCCTTTGATCATTTTGTGTCAGTGCACCGGGTGATGGCAGAGGGCACAGCAGAAAATGCTTAAGTCCAGCTTAAATTTGGACCTCCATTTTTTTTGTACTGAAGTGACGTCTTGATAGCTGTATTGCAGAGAATGTTTATTATTAGAACCTTGTATTAAAGTGTTTTTTTGAAGGTACGGATGTAGTATGTATTCCCTGCTGGTGTAATGTATGGAATAGGATAGAATAAAATCATTTAGGTTGAAAAAGACTGTTAAGATCAAGTCCAACGGCAGTGCCGTGCTCTTGTTAATTGTAATAACAGCTTTCTTATTTTATAACCTAAACTGTCAGTTTAGAACACTTGAGCATAACTGAGTCCATTTAAATTAGTGTATTTATATCAGGCTTTCCTAATATATGAATTAAAACTCAATTTCCTGTAAAATGTTTCCCTTGCACTCTGAATAGGAAAAAAAAGCGCTAAGTACTTAAATGGGAGGTACTATCTCCTACTGTCTAGCAAGTCCTTCAGAAGTCCATAAACTGGTAACTTTCTCATCAGCTCAAGGATGAATATAAACTGCTAATGATGAGAAATAACTGAGGGGGGGAGAGGGGCAGGGTGGGGAAGGAAATAATGTGAAGACATATGAAGTGCTCTGATAGACTTTTAATAATTGTAGATCAATCCCTTGTTTCTATAAATATTTTCTAGAATCAGGTCACAGCCGTCAGTGCTTTATGCTGTGACCGCCATAACAAATATTCATGGAAACAAGTGGAGATGGAGATTGCCTTGCTCAGAAGCCTCCTGAAGTCAGTAAAAGTGTATGTTTAGGAACAATTGTATGTATACAAGAGAAAGAGAACCTTAGTAATGTTGAATCAGTTGCTTTGCATGCCAGAAGACTCTTGCAGGAGTCAGCACCCCTGAAGTTTATCCTGCAGGATAGTCCTTACACATAAGTGTTGGTTTCCAGTCCTTACAAATGTAAGTATTGGTATGAGAGCTCAATGGACTCAGCTACCACATTACTGCTTTTGGTATAAGTGGAGTAAGATACTACAGAGCAGTAGTTGGGGTTGTAGTGATGACACTTGAAAGCCTCTAGACAAACACATAATGAACCCCATTACGGATGCTCTTTAGATGTACGTAAAATATTCCTTTTCTTGTTGTCTCTTGTTATTTTTTAATTCTTTTTTTTCTTTACAATTATGTCTGTGAGAAATTGTTCTTGAACTTCTTTATCCAGTCTTTACTCTGAATCCTCTTCTTTTTCTATTTCAGCTTTTCCAGGATGGCACGTATTTCCTGGGGGTGGTAATTCCAAGGCCCAAATCCTCCCTGCAAAGGCAATAAAATGACACAGTGATATTCAAGCAGACAGAGCAGAAGTCCTTTGGAGCACAGCAGCTGCACCAGAACTGTGGGCAGGTGTGCTTGGGCTCCCTTTGCACTGCAGCCATTGCTGGGAGATGGTGTATGCACAGGTTGCACCCTGCTGTGTCACTGGGACGGTGCCAATGTCTGCATCCTGGAGCTGGAAAGTGTTCCTGGATCTCACAGCTTAGATGTACCTAGGGTTACTAGTGAGCCAAAAGATAAATATTTGAGCAAGACTGAGGTGTACATCAAATATGTATATTTTAAAGGCCTAGGCTGGTTCTGATGGATCTTTATTTCTCTCCATAGTTACAGTGAATTGTAAAATTTTTAGCTTTCAAACAGAATTAAATAAATGTAAAGCGGTCTCAAATTATTTTTTAATTTAAAAATCTTAGCATATTGTGCTCATTATTACTGATACTTTTTACCTTGTAGATGACTTTCCCTCCTTGAAGCAGATACAGTCGTTCTGGCAGTGCAGCGTATTTTGAGCTGCTGAGGTTTTCCATAGTGTCTAAAACCACTGGACATAAAGGATTATTTTTCTGAAGAAATTGTGCTGCAATTTTTCGATCTTCAAGGCTTCTGTGATTTTTAATAACAACATTGTTTTTAAAAGCCCATCCATCTAAAACAAATGAGAAAGGGATTTAGCAAAGAGCACTTTGAATGGGTGCAAGGCAAAGATGTACTGTGTGTGGGTCATATCACAAAACTGAGTTAAAAAGTCCTGCAGCTTATTCCTAACACCAAAGCTTGCCATGAAATGAAAGCCCACGTCAGAGTATGGGATCACTACAGCTTTTCAAATAAGTAGTCCCAAGATTTATTTTTTTTCTTTAATTTCAGCAAACTCTATTTTACCCTTCCCTGGATTCAGAAATATTTTTTATATTTTTAGCTGAAATTTTCCCACATAAATCAACCCTAGAAAGATACAAGGTGGGGAACATATATTCTATTGGAGTCTGCATCCTGTTCTTGAGACATGTTAAAAATGAGTCTTCTTTTTTTTAAAACATATAACGTGGTGGCATTGTACACCTAACCTTTGTTCTATGAAATGTTTTTTCTTCCACTTTCTAAAAGGAGCTGTACTAACACTGAGAGGAAGTTTTGTAAAGGTGTTAACTATGTCCTTCACCTTCACAGAGCTGAGTGTTCAGCAGGAGTAACTCTGTGTAAAGTGTGTGAGTAGAATCTTTGGAGAATTACAGACACAAACTGGTGCCTAGATGTGGTGTTGCTGCTTTTGATTTGAGGAAGGTATTTTTCCCCTTTGAAGCTCCGTCCTTTGCTCTAACACATTTTCTTACTAAAGGGAATGACACATATGAAGCTGCTTTTGGCATCAGCCATGCTGTTTGTGCTGTACCTACGGCATGAGCTTCCTCAATGTAGATGATAAGGAAATCTGCTACTGAGCCAAAATCTTTGATGAGCTTGTTGAACTCATCAAATTTTAGCATAAATGAAGGTCAGGTACAACTTCCAAAATTCAGGATTAAAGGACGGTTATCTGTGGGGAAAAAAAAAAGGACATTTTGTGGTTAAATCAGGAAGGGAGGAAGGCAGAATTAAATGCATACACAGAGATTCCTGGGCAACACTTATCCCATAACCTTCTTTGGTCATTAAAATCAGCAGCACAACATCTGCATCTACATAAAACAGGCATAAAGATGCTTTCTTTTCCTTGGCTCTGACTTGTGCTGCATCCAGCAACGAGTTCAACTGAGGGGACCCTTTCCAACTTCTCTTTTCCTCATCCCAAGAGCCAATTCTCAAGTTACCGATGTTTTCGGCTAGGGAACTGACATAGAGCGTGTAGCACAGCCTCCCTGAGATCCTTAGTACAGAGCAACTTCACCAGTACTAAACATGGCCCATCTGCAAGGTCTTCCAAGGATAGTGGTTCAGGGATGGCCATGAAGCACAGTGCCCTAGTGCCTTTTCCTGGACCTGTTGGACATGTCCTGATTTTTTTCAGAGGTGTCAGTTCAAGCTGAGCTGAGGGGAAGCTGCAGACTTTTCAGTGATGTATCACAGGCTTTAATGCTTTCAATGTATTTCTGTAATTTCCTGTCCAAACAGAACCCTGGTTATATATTATTTATTAAACTAATGTTACACAAGCCACTGGCAAAAGTGTCTGCAGTTGCTTACAAATTAACAGTATGTGCCACAGGTGTTGGCATCTGTTTGCAAGTCCTTGATTTAAGAGAACTTGCAGGATTTTTAAGCACCTCTTTTAGTCTGGTTATGCTAAATTACATGAAATTTGTTCAAGACCTTCCTTCTGGCTTGGTTTAACTTCAAAAGTGGCTGCTAACATAGATTCACATCCTGAAGAATTTAATAGAAGTGTACCTTCCTGTAGATGCTGTGTATTCCTTTCCAAACTTGCATCTCATTTTCTACATAAATATCTGTATATAATTAGAAAAGCAGAGAGAGAAGGATGTAATCCCTCCCATGGGGATGGAGGCTGCAGCTTAATGATTAATTCCACATTCTACAGAGATCTCAGTGGGAGGCAGAGGACAAAGTACAAAGCAGCTACTTCTGCTTTTATTTCCAGCCACCTTGGATCTGGAAAAACCCATCCTGTGCTTTCTAGGGTTTAGACTGGCTGAGGGAGCTGGTGTGGGATTTTCTGTACCAACAGAGAACAACAGCCAGCACTCCTGAATCACTGCACATGGTTCAGTTCTGGGCCTTCTCTCCCTAAAACAAATTATTATCTTGGTTTTCAGTAAAAGGTGTTTCCAGGCAAAGCCAGCTCTTGCAAAAGGTTCACAAGTACCAAAAGGTTCTTGTGCCAGATGCCTGTCCCTGTTCCCTCAGCATCCCTCATTTATGGTCTCAGCATACCAAACCCATCTGACATGGCTCAATTACTGACCTCCCATGAAATCCAAGAGGTGACGAACTTCCCCGTTGAGGGTCACCACCGGCGTGTTGGGAGCAGGGTGTCCCTCGAAGGCTTCATCTTCCAGCCTCTTCCACTTCACCTTCAGCACAAAGAGCAAATACTTGAAGCTGAAAAAAGTCGGACCCCAGTTTTCATAGCTGAACTTTGGATTCCTGTTCATTCTGCTCTTTTCGCCCAGTTTTAGGATGTATCTTTTCATGGCATTGGGAAACAGTATCATCAGTGTTTTGCCAACAACAACAGACAGAGTAACCTGCAAAAGAATCAGGGTTTTCTGTAGGAACACCTTAATGCTGAACATTGTGTTGGAGAAGATCTGGCTGCTCCCGATGGGAACACAGCAGAGACAGGGGCAAAGGTGGAGGAAAATGTTCACGTGTTTAGTTGAATTTCTGCCTTCCCTTGCACACTCTCTGCACTTCAGCCTCTGCGTGAGGGAGGAGCCTGCCAGCAGTGCTCCCTCCAGCTGCACCAAGGGCATCATTTGCAGCAAAGGGTGGATGTGTTGTGCTCACTGCAGAGCTGTGAGGTTTATTCACAAATGTGTAGTGTATTTTACTACTGAAAGGAGCTGAATCAGGATGTTCTCCCTGAATCCCGAATTAAAGACTAAGATGCTGATGCTCATGGCCTTGGGGTGATGCAGGTGCTGTGCAAACAGTTCCTCCTGCTCTGCCTGCTCTGGGGCTCTGCCACACACCAGGTTTGACACTTTTGGGCTTGAAGGATAAATAAAAAGTAGATATATCCCCATATATATAATATCCAGTTCTGGGGTCCCCAGCTCAGGAAAGACATGGAACTGTTGGAGTGAGTCCAGAAGAGGCCACCAAGGTGATAAGAGGGATGGTGCACCTCTGCTATAAGGT